CAGCAAACTCTCCCCAGTTTGAGAAAACTGAAAAAAGGTGATGGGAAATGTCAATCCTCATTGATCAGGATCAAAGTTTCTCAAAAAATCCTCCTCCTGGCATTGGGTCAGACGCTCAACCATAAAGGCTTGCAATACTGGCACCGTGCTGCATTTGAAGAGAGCCAGCCTTTTCCTCCTTGCTAAATAGCCACCCTGCATCATGCCAGTGACACTGCTTTCTGCGCAGCTGGAATGCTTAAAGGACGGGGCATGTGGCACATGCACAGAAGAACACGCAATAAATACTGAAGGCAACCAATTTGGGGTGGGGTGCTCAGAAAGAAAGAAAGAAGTTTGGCTGTCTAATATTAGCACCGGAGTGTGTGTTTTTTTAAAGAAAGGAGCTCTGTATAAAAACAAAACTGCCTGCACCCCATGTGCTTTCAAAGGCAGGAGGTAAACAATCTGCAAGAAAAGCTGATCCTGTCTGCCTTCCCTCTTGGTCGGGACGGGGTCCCGGCTGTTCGGACGTGTGCCCAGAGTGAAGGGGGGGAGAGATGGGCAGGGCGGTGTGTTTCTGTAGCAGACGGGGCCCCCAGCTGCCCTAACACGTAGGAAAAGCCAGACAACTATCAAGGGAGGCAGAACAGTCTCTGTTTGGAGGAACTCCCCAGCGGCTGAGGAGAGCAGGTGGCCCCCGCCGCCCTCCCCCCGCTCGTCGCGCAAGGGCCGGGGAGGCGGCGCCCCTCAGCAGCAGCCCCCCAGCCCAGCCCCTCGCGGGTCGGGTGCCCCGCTCCTTCCTACCTTCCAGCCGGCCGAGCTGTTGCTGTCGCCCTTATCCTTGAAGTAGGGCACGCAGCGCACCATCCAGTCGTAGATCTGCGAGAGCGTGAGGCGCTTGTCCGGGGCGCTCTCGATGGCGCGGGTGATCAGGTCGGCGTACGACAGGTTGCCCCACGCGTTGCGCCGCGACGAGCACTTGCGCGGGGCCGAGGAGGAGGCGGCGGCGGCCCCCGGCCCCGCGCCCA